GGCGCCCACCTGGGCCATGGCCGCGCGGCGGCCGGGGCTCTGCTGGCTGCTGGCGGCCGCGGCGCTGTGCGGGGCGGCGGGCGCCAAGGCCCCCAGCTGCCACGAGGTGCGCACCGCCTTCCAGCTGCGCCACATCGGGCCCCTCAAGCTCGTGCCCGACGTGCCCACCGCCGGTCAGTGCCGCGGCGCGGGGGGGGAGCGGGGCGGGCGGGCTTCAACGCGATCAACTCGCGTAAATAACAATTAAAAAAGTTTTCATATRTAGCTATGCGCGTATATGTGCAATAAGTGCATGTATGCCCAACTCGCACATATATATGTGTGTGTTTAGCCCTGGAATTGGGCTATCTCTGTGCGCTGCACGGAGCAGSAGCGCTCCTGGTCGCCTCCTTGCTGTGCTCCAGCGCCGGGCACCGCTGCCTTATCCCTGCTGCCCACCTTGGCATCCCTCGGGCGTAGGGATGCACGGGGCGCCGCTGGATGCACCGGGGCCGGGAGCTTCGTCCCGTCGTGTTGGGACACGCAGAAGGGAAGCGGGATGTCCTGGAGGCGCGCGGCGCCCTTGCGGCGTTAGCAGAGCTTAACGGGGTTGCTCTTTGCCAGCTCGTAAAGTTGGCCAGACTTTCGGGGCACCCCTGAAATGCAAAAGTAGTCTGTGTTAAAGATGAGTTTTTCTTGCTGTCTATTCCGTAATTAACCTGAGGAATTGATTGCGAATAAAATACTCTGTCATGTCTAAAACTGATGGRCAGTCACTCGTATGATGTTCATAGACGCTCGAAAAAGTTCATTGTCAGTAATAAAGTTCCCCCTACCCTCCCTGATGTTTAGGTGTTTTAAGAATATATTCCTCCCCAAAAAAACAGAATTAAAAATAGAAAGATTATCAGCTTCTCGTAAAGCTGCCTCTTGCTGCCGTAGAGTTGTCTGTTGGTGTGCAGTGCTATAACTGTCACTTTTTGTGGCTGACTTATTATTTTCCACATCTTTTTTGAAGCAGTTCCGCTTAAAGGCAGCAGAAGTTGATGGAAAGGCTGCAGTTACCCAAACTGAGCCTGGGGTGTGGGTTTCAGATGTGGGTTTCTGCGGTGGGAGCCGAAGTGGGACAGGCGGCCGGTGTGATGTGCGGTGGCCGCAAATGACTGCGCGGTGCCCGTGATCTCTGCCTTCCCTTTCCATAAAGCATCTGCCGTGACACGCGGCTGGGAAGTTGTCGCTGGGCAAGAAATTATTCATTATTTGCGGCAAGAGGAGGTCTGTGAGAGAGGCCACTTGAATTACGTTTCTGTTCTCTCGCGCTGCTCGCGGTGACAGGGGAAAGGAGGCGTTTCAAGGCTTCTCACCCAATTTGCTGCACGTTTAACCCCCTTCCTTGCACCTGAGCTCTTTCTGGAAAGTGTGCTCCAAATTCTGGTTATTTTACGTGTTCTGCAAACGCTGACTTGGTCGGTGCAGCCTGGGGGCAGCGATGCCCTTCCAGTGGGCGTTCCAGATGTGCAGTGATGGTTCAGAGGTGGCTTCGTGGCATTCGTGTCTCCTGTTGAACTTTGGCACTGAGTAAGTGAATAGCATGAGGGAGGGCAGCATGCCCTGGAATTTCAGCTTCTTGTGAGGAGGCTGCTCAGAGGGGAGCTGCGCAGAGCAGCGCGCATTGATCTCACCTGCACCTTCAGCGTGCACCGTTCCACCCGACACGTGTCTTGTCCGGGYTGTCCCCAGTGCCTCCTGCCCAGGCTCTGCTTATGGAGAACTACACCCTACTAAGTGTTTCCAGGGTTTTCTTCTGGCAGCTGCTATCTGTGAATATATTTATTTTCCCCCTACTAGTTTCATCTTATTTAACAGTTTCCAGCCCCGTGTGCTGTCCCGTTCCCCCCAGGCCCATGCACAGGGCTGGGTCTCAGGTGTCTGTGCTCTTTTTACCTGTTTTCTAGCAGATTGCACTTGCAGCCCCATTGCCTGTSCGCTAGATATTTCCAGTCTCAGCAGTGTTGAAAGCCCTGGGCGGCTCTCGAGTCAGTATTTATAGGCTAACAAAACCCTGGTGGAGGCGAAAGCCCCGGGGATGGCTCTGTTGGGGTGCCCCTCGATGCTCCCAGCTACGGGCAGGYGGGAAGCCCGAAATGTCCCCACTGGAGCCTGGCCACGTGGAGGCAGCGGAGCCAGGACACGAGTGGCCCTCCAGATCCCTCAGTCATTGCTGATCCAYCACCATGAGAAAATTCCCCCCGCTCTTTCCACGTGTCCGGCGCTGTCTCATGCTTCTCGACTCGCATGTGGTTGTGCAGCTCTCTCCCTGTACACTGTGTGGGGAATGTTGGGGTGCATATAAAGATAAAAGTAGGGAGCTGATTGCTGCACAGCAAGAAAGGGGAATCTGTTGCTTATTAAGGAGTCCCAGGAACTTTTTATGTCCAAAATAATCACGTTGAGAACTCCTACAAGGAAGGGTTGCCTATCTGTTGGTCGTGCTGCATGCTCTGCTGCTGCTGCTTTTAGATTGCTCTTGTAGACTGCCTTCTGAAGGGTGGATTTGTCCTSCTAACAGCTTGCTTTATTCTCTGCTCTCTCCCTGCACCTTAAATCAGCAGAGGAGTTCATTACCGTGGACATGTCCTGAATATCCCATGGCGGCGCTTCACATACATTAACAATCTATATGTTAAAACTATTTGACTTTCTGTATAGTGACAGGGAAGTTCTCAATTCCTCCTGGCAGCTTCTCGGCATGTGCCGTGCGTGTATTGCACTGTCTCCTCCTACAGCCTGGGGCAAAGCTCCCATATATCTATAAAAAGTGATCATTTTATCATGAAATGGAACACACCATGCTTTTTTTCCTGTTTTAACACCTCATTTTATCATGAAATGGAACATACCATGCATTATTTTCCTGTTTTAACACCATCAGGCTCTTTATTTCTATGATCTTAACAAGAATGCTAATTCCCTTGGTAAAGGTGTGGTGTTGAAAATAGGTTATTTTGAGGGTTGTAGCTGAAACGCTGCTTTAACAGGGAGGAGGATCACAGGCAAAGGACCCCTGAGGTACCTTCATTTCGGGTTGGCCTCAGAATATCCCTATCTTCATRCTAGAAAAAAATACTAGAGGTGAACCTGGTTTCTGGTGAACTGGAAGCTGAACCCAGGAGTTGTCCATCCTCATTCCAAGGAAGCCTGAAGGCCGGAGCAGTCTCGCAAGGCCAGAGCGGTCCCGAGCTGCAGGCTGTGGTTCCTGTGATAACTTTCCTGCTGCTGGGAAAGGCTCTGATCCTGCAGCTCCCGGAGGAAGCGATGCTTCCTCCACTAATCTGGGTAGGGTTTTATAGCAATGTGCAGCCTCAGGTTGTCTCCAGAAGCATTAACCTGGAGCTGCTGGTGACTGTGGAGGCAGATTGGACTCTTGCCAACAGTAATATCTTTCCTTTTCCCCTCTTTTCCTATGTCTGAGGCTTGTTAGACACTTGACCACCTGCTTGCTCTGCAGTGCCCTCCTGAGAGCAATCACAGGCAAAAAAAAATCTGTTTAAAAGTAGTTCCTCATAAAGGTGGAATTACTGCCACTGCCAGAGGGAAATTCCAGTTCTCATATCTCTGAACCACAGGAAAAAAAAGAGTATCCTCGCTGATTGGCATAAGTATTTGGTCCAGGGGAGCAGAGAGACTGATTTAACTATCTAGGTCTGCCTTTTCTTGTAAACATCTTGGTAAAGAATCCAAAAGTCAGCAGAGAATTGACTCCTCTAGCTGCCTGCACTTGCTGTTGTCATCCAGCCGAGCCGAGGGACGCAGCCAAGCATTCCTCTCATGGAAGCTGCCTATCCACTCTCAAAAATCACTACCGAAGAAAGATCATGGCTTTTATTATAGTCACTCCCCAAATCTRGGAATTCTCTTGGTAAACTGGCTCTTAACGTGGAGAGCAACTTTAGGAAGAACTGACCTGTGTCTGCAATTGTGGTGGCTCCCATGAGCTGTCCCTGTAGCATCGAGGTTTCACCATCGGTGACTGTGATCCGAAATAAGAGGCGAGTGTCCCTGCCTGGTGTAGGGGGCTGAGCAGCGAGTCCTCATCCAAAAGGGCAGCACTGATGAAAATACATTAATGTGGTAAGTGGCAACATAGTTGGCATGATAATAAGTGCTGCATAAATCAATAAAGCAAATACATCAAAGTGAGTAAAAGCTTTTATAAAGATTAATCGTGGAAAACGGCATGAACCTGAGGATCTCTGTAGAAAGCACAGCTGTATGTGCAAAATGCATCCTGCACAGTAAAATGGATTTGACTTAAATTGCTTCATTTTTAGATGGGATAAAACTCTAGCTATAGTGCCAAGTGTTGCAGAGTCTTTGTAATTACATTTTTTTTCATGAAAGCATAAAATGACATAATTCAGGCATATGTTTAATAATACTTCAAGTAGATGCTCATCATTTACCAGTTTAGAGCCCTGCACCTGCTTCTAGGAGAAAATACGAATTCTGATGGATCCGAATGAATTCCTCAACAGCAGCCAAGCCTGTGACACAATGAGAATTTATACCCAGACTCTCAATCTGTCAGCTTGATTGGGTATTATTGTTAATATCATCAAAGAATCTTGGAAGAAGTAACATATTTGAAATAAGAGATCATATAATGCAGTGACACTTATTTTGGTACCATTAAGGTAATTTCTAAGCGTCATCAATGGATGAAATAAGGTTTCTAGCTAACATTTAACAGTTCTTCTCCTTAAGAAGGAAGAAAGCAGCACATGTGTCTCCACCTTCTGCGAGGTGCTTCAGATTTATTTATTTTTTTCCTTGTGGGAGTAAATTTTCCTTGTGGGGCAGTAATTTTTTTGCAAAATTGCAGAACACATCTGCACAGTATCTGTTCTGCCTGAAAATGGCTTGTCCAGTCCGGTTTTGAGTTGAGCTGGACTAATGTTGACATCTGATTAGGGAGGCAATTAAACCTGCCTATCACAGAAATACCATGCAGTCAGTCCCCTGCCCCATGATATTCTTCACACACTTTACCTGCTTCTCATGGGGTTGTAATTTGTGACTTGTGCTGCGCTGTTTTAGCAGGTGACACTGAGGAAACTCCTCTGGGTTGGAGGGCTCCTTGTTTGTCCAAGGTGCTTCACAGGCATAGCCTTGTCGTAGCCATCTTACCCAGTCA